ACAAAGATTAATACAAAATTCAGTTATGCCTTCAGTGACAATGCCAGTTTTCAGCATAAAAGAGGCATCAGGGCAACACCAAGTAATATTAATCAAGGTTTTGAACAAAGGTTAGTGTAACAGGAAGGACTTTGATTGGATGTTGGTGTCTGTCTCTCTCTTCACTAATTCTCCATTTTCCCAGTCAATTTAATCTGTGAAGTTACTGCATTGCCCTGCAGCCTGTATCCTTGCAGTGACAGCTACAGTGTCCCCCAATTGCTGGGAAAAAAATGGAACCAAATGAACACAAAGGCACCAAAGGAGAGAGTAGTAGAAAGCAAGGTTAAACTGTGACAAGATAAACAGGGAAGAAGGTATAAAAATATTCCTTGGTATTTTTAGTATCATTTGATGTTGTATATATTTAGCATCACAATTCTGCCATGATGTTGGTGTATTTCTTTCCATCCTCTGCCAAATATCAATTACACAGTGTAAAAGAAATCTTAGAAAATTTTACATACTTCAAATTGGAATGTCTTAATGTAATTTTATCAAAATCATCAGACCAGGGGCCAAAATCTACTTTTAAAAAACTGGGCATAACACTATTGTTCTTTCAGTGGTGTTCCATGTTTGTTTGCTTCTTAAGACCAGTTATTTTCTTCCTAGTAACCAGATTCAAAAAACAACCCATCCAAATTTATAATCTGGGCAGATAAAGCATTTTCTTACCATCTTAAATACAAATAAAATTCCTGAAGTTAAGGAGATTTTAAATATCTTTCACATCCAGTGAGTACTGTATCACCAGGGAGGGTTATGAAACCATCATTAACATTTATATTAAAAAAAATCTGTGATTAATTTCCAATTTATATGATAATTTATATTTATTTTTTTAAAAACAGCAGGTACCACTGTGTTATCTGAAGAACCTAATTTCTTGGTGCATATTTTTCTCCCTGAAAAAGTAGCAAGTTAGGAGTAACTTTCAGAATTATATTTCCAGAATTTGCACCCTATTTTCTGCCAAGTCCCAGATCAGCAGCTATACTAAAAGTGGACTGCTCTTCAAGTCATTGCCATTGCACAGGAAAATCAAGACTTTGAGACGGAGAAGATAGTTTTTTTCCCACATTTGGATCACCAAAATACTGGATACTGGGCTTCCAGTCTGGGGAACCTGTACAAAATAAGCTGCTCTCTTTTTTTGTCACTTTTTCTGAACATGATTCATTACCAACAATTGGGCTGCATTCGCAAGAGTGAAGCCAGGATGCTTTGTCTGGCATTTGTGAGATGACATATAAGTACTGCATCCAGTTTCAGCCTCCACAGCAGAAGACAGACATTGACACACTGTGCTGAGGCCAACCAGGGCCACCAATATGGGAGGACTGGAGTAGGTGTCATTTGGGAAGAGTCTGCAAGAACGGTGTTTGTTCAGCCCTAAGAAAAGAGGGTGAAGATGGGATCTTATTGCTGCCTACAACTGCCTAAATGGAGGGTATAGACAGAGCCAGACTTTTTTTCACTTATGAGAGGCAAGAAACAAGTTGGAAAATGGGAAATTCCAATTACACATAAAGTAGGTTTGTGGGTCTTAATGGTTTTTCAGGTTTTTTTTGTTCTTTTTACTATGAGGGTGTGGCAGGTTGCTCAGGTTGTCAATTCTCATAATGCCTTGCCCATTTTGATTTTATCTTCTACAGAATCTACACTGTGAACATTATTCAGAAGATGTCAAGAAAGGAAATAGCATGGCCACATTTCATGGAAACTAGACAGCTTCTTCTGAGAAACATCAAGAGGACTCTTGAGCTAACATATTAGCAGGAAATCAAAAGATCATAGTGATATCATCAACCTTAAAGGAAGCAATTTCCTTTAGATAATCTGAGTTAACATATAATTCCCTTTGCTCTGCAAAGACTAGAATAACATACAATAAGATGTTTTCCAACTCCTGATTCAGATAGAGAAGTATTTAGCTGGAATGAAAGAATGGTGAGTCTCCTCCATTCAGTAACTTAAAATATGTAATCAGTTCAAGTTCTGTGAGATTTGATACCTGCCTTTGAAACAGCTTTCTAGAGCTACTGTATGAGATGGCTATCAACCACTGCATTTAAAAAAAGACACTAATTTATATTGAAATTGATGTAATTAATGTTACAGAAAGTAAATATTGAATTTACAACATGTTCTGATACAGGTTTCTTTACTCTTTGTACCTTCACCTGTCTCTTCCATAAAGTTTAGTTAAAATAATTACGCTCAACTACTGGGAAATTACAGAGGAAATGCTGAAATTAGAGCAAATATTCAATTCTGACAGTTCTCCATAACTATATACCAATATTCTGTTTCTGGACCTTCAGTTAATCACCCAATAAATGCTAAGTTCCTCCACAGAATCATACAATCATTTAGGTTGGAACAGACCTTTAAGATCATTGAACCTAACCATATATCCAACTGCCAAATTCACCACTAAATATGTCCTTAACTGCTACATCTACATCTTTTAAATACCTCCAGGGATGATGACTCAATTGCTTCCCTGGGCAGCCTGTTCCAATGCTTGATAACTCCACTGAATAAATTTTTCCTAATACCCAATCTAAACCTCCTCTGGTGCAACTTAAGACTGTTTTCTCTTATCCTATCACTTGTTACTTGGGAGAAAAGACTGACACTCACCTTGCTACAACCTCCTTTCAGGTACTTCAGTTCATAATTTCCTTTGTTTGCAAAGTGATGTTTTCTACACATATCACTTATCAAATGTCTCCTTAATTTTCTTGAACAATTAAATAAAAATAGTAATTCTTGCCGTTGCCCTTCTCTAAGTGTAATGTCCAAGGCTAGATGTAAGACTAGGGTTCAGATCTCCTTCTTGACTAAGCTCCTGGAAAGGCACGGTGGTCTGTGCTAGCTACATAAATACAGTGCTACAATCCACCCAACTCACCCCATGAACACATCATATTCACACCTACTCACATCTACACCTCACACAACATAAGGTGCTCTTCCTTATAGGAACGTAGATAGTATTTACAAGACAGAGAAATGTATTTCCTAGTACTTTCAATTTTAGTGGGATCATAAAGATTTCAGATTAGGGGTTTGGAGGGGGTTTTTTAGGTGTTTTTTTTTTTTTCCCCCCCTGGGACCATCAGTAAAGGAGATGTCTTTAGTATTTATGCTATCATAATAAACTATATGCTGCAGATATGATTTGGACTTTGTGGAAATGCTGTGGCCTTTGTGATTTGTTTTTTAATTAATTCCCAAAAGAGAAAGGCTCTAAATGATGGATATACTGTTTTATGCAAGTTTCAGACTTAATTCAGGATCCTTACCTTTAAAATACACACCAAGATAGAAATATTATCATAGCTAAAGATTAGCATGCTGATTCAGTTTCTGACTGGACCTATCTCACAATATATAAGCATACTTATTACATTCTAAAATACTGTTCTGCTACTAGAAACTTCTCAGTTATGCTATTACTTTTACTACCAAAGTTCCTTTCTGTAGCTGTATCAATTTTTTAATATAATAGATGATGCAGAAAAATGCAGGCTTCTCCTTGAAGCCAAGCTTCTTTTAGACCATGACTAATGATGAGACCAGTTCTGAATAGAAACTCATAAAACATCACTTAAAAAGTAACAAAGCTACTTTGAGAAGTGCTTGCATGTTTTTGAGCATGATAGATTTGAACAGAATAGTTTTTCCACTGAGATGTGCTAGGATTTCACTGTGAGAAAGAACATGGTTAAATTAAAAAAAAAATCAAAACAGAATTTCTATATGTCATATTAAGTAGGCCAGACTCTTGGACATTCTGCTAAACCTTTGAAAAATGTCCTCCTAATCTATTTGTGTGCAGTGCTGTGGGCAGCAGAATGAAGCAATGTACATCACAGGAAGACAGAAACACAAAGGTCTTCCTGTCCAGTCCCCTCTTACTGGGGATACAACATCATGTTTTCCCCTTTGTAATCACAGTGTATTCTGTTTTCAAAGTAGTACAACTAGAACAACCAAAAAGTTCATCTGTCTTTCAACACTGGCAAGTTGAATTAATAAAAAGTATTTCAATAGAAATTACATGAAAGCATCATATAATGGCCTAATACTTCCCTATTTTTATTGATGCCATGTAGGACAGCAATTATATTTTTTCACAGCTGCATGGCACTGGCGGCTCTGTAGTCTTTCGGGAAGCCACTAGTGTATATCCTCTGTCTTTGTTGGTTGGTTGTAAGTGATGAGTCCTCAGCTTACAGCAGGGGTTATAGGTTTTGAGTGCATGACCTTACATTTCCTACTATACAAGTTCATCACAGTATTCAGGTTGTTCAGCTTTTTCAGTCCAGTAAACTGATCTAACACTCTAAACAGAAAGTCAAAAAGTCACTGCTTTCCTTTGTCTTGAAACTCACATATTTCCACATTTAGAAGCCATAAGGATTCAAAACCTGCCCATGAACTTCAGGGTCACTATCTCTAGGAAAGCGAGTATCTGTCTTTTAGAAAAGACTTATTTTACCACAGAAGAAAACTGTGTAAGAAAACTAGTCACACAAGTACAAAAATATATGCTATCAAAACTAGATAACATTATGATTTTTCTTTCTTTCTTTCATACAAGCAAACAAAAGTCAAACTCTTAGAACCAAGGCAAAATGATTTTTTCTACATGAAACAATGAAATATTTAAAATAGCCTGACATTCAGATATTAAATTCAGGTTACCATAAACAAATAGTTATAGTGTCTTCAACTCCATTTCAATGTTTTAGATTACATATAGGACAATTATATGATGCTTAATATAAAGTATTTTGCCAAAACAAGTGGTACATGTTGGTTTTATGCAGAGATTCCTTAAGCAACTATAAAAGTGATGAGGAAAAAGATTTCTGATACAACAAAAGGACACTGTATTGACAAAGCATTATCATCAGAATATATACAAAGAGGAGGAAAATACTTACAGATTTTTTATGTCTACTGCTCCTCGGAATGCCTTCCTTGGTATTGCTTGAATCTGATTTTCACTAAGATCACTAAGAAAAAAAAAATTAAATTAAAGTTAAAATCTGTCTTATATATTTCCTTCTGTGTATAACAAAAAGAATATATAAGATAGCAATTTCAGCCATTACAGCTCAGTCAGTTTCCACTGAAGCTTATTTTATTACCTGATATGTATTTATTAACTGATACGTAATTGAAGAAAAAGAAACAGCAAAAATAGTCAGTTTATCTGTGTTGCACTAAGTTGCTCCTTTACAAAACAACAATATATATGCCAAACAAAAAGCAGAAGTATTATATATTTTAATAACGAAGAAGGCCAAACTGATTTAATTTTTAACTGAGGCATTTCACTTTTCAACCCATTTCAAACATGACATCAAATGTTTAATAGTATGTTCAGCTTTATGCAAGGAAGATTGAAAACAGGCAAAAAGAACAAGTAGTGAACTGTTAAGAAACAACAATCAAGCTGTATAATGTCCAAGATCAATCTATTTCTGAATTTTGTTTCAGAGTGGCAAGCACCATATATTTTAAAAGAAGGCATTAAAAAGCATTCTGCAGCAGACATCTAATAGTCCTCCAAAATCCCTGCATGACCAGATGTAACACACAATCTGAACTTGTATCTTTCCAAATGAGAAATTTTATTAAAATTCTTACAAAGTTCTTATTCAGTAGTATTTTTTCACTATCAGTATAAACAAATAGCCCTTTTTTCTGAAATTTAGAAATATTTGTACATGCTATTAACAAGTAATGCAGCTCAATAGGAAATAACCAATATATTAGAGTTGTTATTGCTATATCTACACCATCTGCAGTTTGTTGTCACTTCAGACAACAGTTTGCTACCCTGGACCAAACATACCTGCCACATACATGGTTCACAAATGTCTGAAGGCCTTGAAGGGACCTCTCTACCCTGGTGGCTTACCATTATGAAATCAGACTTTCTTTTGTAGGCCTTCAGAGATGCACCTATCTATAGACAATATGAGGAACGGAAGTAATGACATGAAGAGGCTTGCTTGAGAATCTAAATAAAATTCAGCATCAAATCAGATGCATAGAGGCTGTCTCTATACTAGGATTTTCAGCCTGTTTGCAGATCAGTTTTACTGTAGCTAACTAGATTTCATTCTGCTAAACCCAAATCAGGAGCTTCACTCCAAAAGCACATCAAAAGCAATCCAACCCCTAGCAGAAGTTTCGCAATGTCTCGCTTTTGAGACAACTTTAGATGACCTTTTCAGAGACAGCTTTTAGGAGAAACATTGCAAAATGGTGCATAGAAATAAGAGATCTAGCTCAGATGAAGTGAATAAGCAAGAATCATTTAGTTGATTAGACATAAACATTCATACTTTTGACATATTCTTTCCCTAAAATGTAATCTAGCATGAGCTCGTATTTCCAGTTATTAGTAATCACTCCTGAAGATCTCTTTCAGATTTATGAGCTTAAAAAAAATAATATGAGAACTTTATAAAACCCCACATTGCCTGACTTTGAAAAAATTTATATCAATATAATTCTTTTGAAAATAATTCTACATACACTGACAGCAACTTTGTTTTATCCAATTTATTGTTAATTTATGGAAAATCACATTCTATTTACTAAATCATTCATAGTTCATGCATCTAACTGCACTGCAATATCTTGCAAAGTATATTTAAAACTAGACACAATTTTACTATTATTAACCGTGTGTGAAGAAAGAGAATCTGTGAGCTGTGATTTAATTTTCAAGCCTCCTAAGTAATTCTGAAACGGGATATGACTGCACTGCTCTGACAATAAATTCAATGGCAATGAATGAAAAAGCAGCCTTCAGCATTTGTTACGGTAACATGATTTAACAGCCTACTTCCTTTAAAAAAAATTCCATTATAAGTATAAACAGCACATACCTGTATTTACACTTCTGTTTAATTGACTAATACATTTTACCTATATAAAAATTGTGCATAAAGAGGTTAAGTTAGCAATAGTGATTTGTATTGTGATCAGTTATTAGTTTATAATACAGATATATGCATATATCTATGTAAACCACTACCATACTCATATGCATATATCTATGTAAATCACTACCATACTCATAAATAATACTACAGGAGGTAATGGGTAATGGTGCATTATGCTCTTTATGACAGTTAATAGAGTATCATAATTCACCATTTTTTATAATTAAAAAGAAGTGGAAGATGAACAAGATTGAGACAAATTGTAAATAAATAATAAAAAATAAAATAATAAAAAATAGCAATGGTCAAAATCTTTCTTTCCTTGACTAAGTGCAAATCTTAGCACAAATGCAAGGACTTACAAGTAACAGCTACTGAGCTAGGTTCCTCAATAAACAATTCACCAAAGTTGCATGTCTGCATATGTAGTCTGTGTGCACGCATGTGCAAAAGACAGCAGACTAATCGCATGCTAGATTTACCGCAGGGTCCACACGGTCAACACCATCTCTATGTAGCATAGGCTCATGTAGACTAAAGTATAGTGTTCCCTGCTAATTTTAGCACATTCAAAATGTAAACTACTTGATTGCAAAGTCCCCGACCTTGCTTTGGAATGCACTGTTTAAATCATCCCTCTAAATGTGAAGAGCTAAGTAAGGTTGGCAAATGAAATTTTCCAAGACAAAGATTTTTGCAATGCATCTGCTGTTTTGTGAAACTTTCTTGAAACTGTTTATGTAACAAAAGTGTAAGTTATTAATTAATTTCTTCACTGCAAAATTCTATTTCTCATAAAAAATATGATTTTCAACACACAATTTATATCTACTTATAGCAGGAAAGTTTTTAGTAATTATTTATTGATTGCTTGAAGTTTTCATCTGCTCAGTCTAGAAAGGTTTTCTTATAAAAACCTTGAGGGGCTTAAACAAACATTCAACTTTTTCTTCTTGCATGAATTGCACCTGTATTTCACCCTGCAGACCTAGGACTCAGTAAGAAGTTGCTGTGTGGTCTTTCTTTATAAAGTTTTTAACTAATTCCACTGCAATTCTTAGATTGCTCACAAAAATGGTCACAAGCAGCACACAGTGCTCTGTGACTATCTGGGGAAATGGGGCAAAAATCTATTTTGTAGATAAAACCAGACAATTTTGCAGGCCATTATGTTACATTGATTTGTCTTCGCAGCTTATGTTCTGCAGTGAAGAAAGGTTCAAACCTCCTTTTCAGCCTGATGGTCATTGTTTCCTGCACTAATAACTATATGAACTTCATCTCCCATTTCAAAAAGAGGCAGCATATGAATACTGACTATAATTGATAATGGTACTTGGTACCCCTAAAATAAAAGAGGCTCTAAGCATTTCAATAAAATTTAAGCCACTAAACAACAGAACATCCTACATTAACAAGAACAAATCTGTATTTTGAAATAAAAGGCATGAACCTGTCTTCCAATTTGAAACCAGCAATCTGACTGAGCTACTTTCATTGGAACAAATTATTCTCCACAATTATTACAGCCCAAGACCTTACATCAAAATCCAGCATACCTCTGGAACAATGGAATCGATTGAAAAATGTTTTGTATACATCTAGAGTGATAAAGTCAAGGCTATCCTACAGATTTTTTTCTTTTTCTTTTTTTTTTTTTTTTTTTTTTTTTTTTAATGTAAAGCACAATGGTCTTGTATGATGTTTTGACTAATTAATCTTCATGCAGATTTTAGTTGTCCTACAGTCCTCTTTCAACAAAATTGTTTTTTGAGTCTATTATATCATTCCTAGAGAGACGTATTCCAAAATGTTAAGTCTGAAGTGGAATACCTTAAACACTGATAGCTCAAGCAAATTCTTTAGTGCAACATTGTGGGCTTTATTCATCTCATTCACCGGCCAGCAGAGCACCTTTAAGCACCCAGACTCCCACGCACCTCCCCACTTATACGTTGCCAAACCAGTGCCCGGGGCCAGAACTGCTGTATGTAACCTCAGTCTCTTCTAGGGAGACATGTCCTCAAGGAGAGCTCCCACGCTCGTTTCCTCAAGCCAAAATGTGGCACAGTAATGGTGGGGTTAAATAGCAGATTTGCACACAGAAAGCCATCTGGGCAAGTTAGGCTGGCAGCAGCTGAAAGAGGCTCTTTTCAGAGAAGGCACAGATGAGCACCTGTGCTGCTCTAGATGCGACTGCACCATCCTGTTTAATGTTTCAGGTATGTTTAAGCTGTGTATATGTCAAGCATTCTTCTGAGTTGCAATATTCTGTCTGCAACCCCATCTTCTCAAAAGAAAGACAAGAAAACCAAATCCATATACAAAACCAAGATGAATCCCACTCTAAGTGAAGTTACACAGGAGAATGCACAACAATTTCTTAATTTTTGCCCAACTATAGTGGTTCTTTGAAAACCTTGCATGCATTTTCCCCCCACAGAAGGTCAGGTGTGTGTAAATCTGGGAATTATTGTGCTTACATAAAATACAATTTATTTTTAAACAAACCAGGTCAAGGCAATTTATGTGCAATGTATACAGATAATCACATATGCCCCAGCTTTTAAACTGATTTCCAGAGAGTAAGGAAGTAATTCTGATATTTTCAATGACACTACAGTAGAGCTTGTCTAATTTGAAATTATGCCTTAAAGAATGTAGATTTCTGTACTTCACAGACCAATGAAATAGGAAAAAAAATTTGTAACAAAAAAAATATCAAACCTCTCACCCCACTCTCCCCTCCAAAATCAGCTTCATTTTATGTATTCAGTTAATTTTTTTTTTTTTTTTGCTCTGGAATAAATTAGTAATCATAATGCATTGTGCTTTGTGGAAATAGCAGAAAGACCTTGCCAAAACCTTGCTACTACTGAATTCTTCCTAAGAACTAGATAGAAATGGTACATTTCTATTCAAGATATTTACTGGTTAGTACATAGAGGTGTATTAGGAAAAAAAAAAAAAAACCTAGAATCCTGCTAACATTTGAAATTCATATCAATAGAATATAATAACCTATTCCCACAGAAAAACTCAAAAACTTACAT